CAACACACACACACACACACACACACACACACACACACAGACGATGTAAGAAGCCCTCTACATTCTTTGTAGTGTTCCTTCTCTGTCATACTGTTGTATTGCCGCTCACTTGCACGGGACCACCAAGAGAACGAGACCACACACGAAGTTTCATCTGCGTCAAGATAGCGCCTTGCCTGTACGCGTTATCGGATGACTATGAAATATGCGAGTGATCGATATAAAGCCGACTGGTGTGCTGCTTGTCCAGCATTGTACGCGTGCTTGATTTAATCAGAAAGAAACTTGAATCTCTGAATTGCGGTGCCACCTAAGGATTCTCTATCGAAATAAGCAAAACTTCAGCATGTGAAGCGGGACTTGCCTCAACATCAAACACGCACGAAATCCCTTGTAATATCAATACTGTATTACAAGTCAATCCTCCATTTTTCCTCGCAAATCTTTAAGCATCCTTCTCAGTGTATCTTCTCGGCTACATTTCTTTGCTGTGGGAAGTTTATCATCTTAGAGCTCGAAAACCATTGCGTTTGCTTTTCCCAAGGGTATTTTCGTTTTGCTTAAATTACCGATCACTTGGCGGATTCTTCCCAACGTAAATCATTTTTGAGATCATACCGAAGTATGCGTTTCTAGCAACAGAGAAGTTTTTATTGAAATCTTCATTAAACATTTCTTTAAATATGGCAAAAAAAAAAGAAAAACAGAACTGAAAATCATATTCTCATGTACAATATATTTCTAAACTAACGCAGGATAGGCTATTAACGAGATAGAAATATTCCTTGGAAGAAACGTATAGTTTTAAAAACTGCAAAATCTTCACTGTTTCATATCATTACTGAGTCCCTTACGATATGAAGCTTTTTCCTTCTCTCACTTGATCAACTCAAAATTTGCTTTGATCGATCATTTTGTGGAAAATGAGGACTTCATTTCAACACAGAATCCTAGATAAGATGAAAGAAGTAGCTATCGAAGAATTACTGACTAGCAAAATGTGCAAGCATTCACGGCTTACAGAAGCAATACATGAACAAAGTGATAAGATATGCATATCTGACAGGAGTAATGCTGAATTATACAGACTGCCATGCATTGTTGATCTGCAGCAGACCAGGAATTTCTCCACCACTTCCCACTTAGATTCAACGTACTCGTAGGTTCTCATCCGAGTTGCAAAATACAATGTTGCTGAAGTGCGAATGAGGTTGCAGTGGAGAGTGGGGTTTTCTGTTTCAAGAACTTCAGCATGAACTCTTGCATTTTAATATTGCAAAACCAATTCCTTTTTATATGAACTTTTGAATAGGTGGAGAAGTGTGAAATTGATTCTGGGGTCCATTTACTTCCTGATTCCTGCAATTTTGCTGATAGTAAAAGCAGTAAAGGTGAAGGCAGGTATTTCGGAGCTGTTCACTACCGTTTCAGGTGAAGGTCTTGGTATTGATGATATATAAAAGCTTCAAGTATGACTTCAAAAATGAGTGTAAGTGCTTTAGATATTTACAGCTTACTCTTGATATTGGCCAAAATGAAGTCATTATTCTGCATTCACGCGTAATACTGAAATGTTCAGGAGGATTCTGGAAGTATCAAAAATGGCCTTACAAATTTGCAAAAGCTGTTTAAAAATACTGATTTTGAACCGAAGCTAACTTTTGTCGGTGGCGGTAAGATGACAGCCGCTTTAATCCGTGGTTTTGAATCTGCTGGTAAGTTGCATCTGACGTCTTCTAGTTTTAATTGATAAGAGGTCAGGTACTTCGTGGTGCTATGGGCTTACCCTTATTTGCTCTACTTTTGACACGTGATGTATGTAATTTCATTGTCAGATCAAACCAAATCGCGAAACAATCATGTTTTGTTGTTCCAGTATTCGATGTTGTTTTGTTTCTGTCATGGAGTAAGTATGATCGGTTAAGAAGTTTGCTTGTAACTTGTATGCTTACTTGTAAATGGAGATGAATATTTGTGTGCTGGGAGTAACATGTTATTCAGGTCTCATAACTAAGAATGACGTTGCCCTCAGTGTTAAAACACCATCATCCGCACAGCGATGGAAGGTAAAATATGTTCAGTAGATTTTATGAAATTTTATGCTTTGAAAATGTAGATCTGTTTGCTACCATTTATGCTTAGCGTGCTTTTTTACCATAAATTACAAGTATTTTGTTGAGGAACTCAATTACAGCAGTTGGGTTATGTAAATGTCTACACGTCCAATGATGACCTGATTCGAGCTCATGGTCAAGGTATGCACCGCGTAATTCATTTGCATTTATTGCCATCAGCGGTTTTTGCAGTTGTTTTGATAATGTGAAGTTGAACGACATTTCACATTATATGCACCGTAATGTACACTCTGAACTACTGGGTTTTTTTCTGCTTACATTATTAAGTGAAACACTTAGGGAGATCTTTGGTCTGAATAAATGAGGGAAACCCGTAAGCAATTTAAATAACGTCGTGAATTCTATGCAAGTATTTTCTACCTGGAATCGATTCTCGTGAAAATTGCGGGTTACTTTTTTCTTTTGTCTGCATATCTTGGCCATCCCACTTTACTTTATTCCTTCACTCGGTACTGTGAAATTGGGGAATCTTGAGAGTGATCTTCGTCATCATGAATGGAAAAAATCATCAAAATAATTGAAGTGCTATGGTTTTCAGGAATTGTTTTTTTGTCGGTAAAACCAGAGATGCGCATGGCAGTGTTGGAAGAACTGAGCAATGAGGCATTTGCAAATACTCCATTAATTGTCTCTATCATGGGTGGAGTTGACTTAAAGACATTAGAGAAAGAAGTACATTTGCATGAAGTTGCTTTAAAAATTCACTGTCATTCCATAGTTTTTAATGCTGAGATTTTCTTTTTTGATAGATGCTTTCATGATAATTGAGAGGAGCCAGCGGAACTCTCGGATTGAAATAGTTTTGATTTGAACCCGTAAAGCAAATGGGTGGATGTCTAAGAAGATAATGGTTAGGAACAAAATGCGAAGATCAAAAGCTCCTTTTTTAATGTAACGTAATAATCATAACATAGTTTCCGCAGCTTATTTAATGGGATATTTTTAATTGGCCTGACAATTTTAAAGAAGTTTAAGGTTGTGGCCAAAAGTTATGTCTCAAAACGTGGACTAGTGCGTCTAATGCCAAATCTTCCGGTTAGTGTATGCTCTGGTGCATCAATCATGTGTTCTAGCTTATCCCTGCAGCAAGAAAAGGTTCCAAATATCATTCTTTTTCTTCTCATTTTAATAGTCTTGCTTGAATATGAATTTCTAATCGAACAATGGGTGAAGTAAGAGGAGAATAAAATGAATTTAAAGTGCATTAATGTCAAAAGGCTTATGATATCAAATCTCAGTTGTTGTACTAGTAGCTTTTTTGTAGATTGATTTAATCAACTGCATCATGCAACATGTTGGTATTTGTTCGGTAATCAGTGAAAAATCATTTGATGCAGCTACAGCAATCGCTGGATGTGGACCTGCTTTTGTTAGTTTTGATACCCTTAGAATATTTCCTTTCGATATGCTCTGCTTATATCGCTTCATTGTTCTGGTTTGCAGTGCATATCTCGATCCGTTGTTCTTATTTTGGTGAGCTTAAAAAGTAAAACCCCTCTAGGATAGTAGTCTCTACAAAATTTCATTGTAAATCGTGCCGTCGCTGAGTTTCAGGTGTTCGTGGCAATCGAAGCATTGTCAGATGGGGGTGTCCTTGGTGGTGTTGACCGAACAACTTCAGTGAAATTAGCTGCCCAAACTGTTATGGTAAACTGCTGAAATATTGCTGTTATTTTTATTTTCGAATGTGTTTGCAGATTAACAAATTAGGTCATCCATATCAGTCAAGGGTTTTTTTTTTTTATCGTGTCAGCGTTCATTATTTGATGGAATGTGATGTCAGGCTCAGTAATGCTGAGTAATTCATTTACTTCCGTTTCTGTTTAACATGCAAACATAATCCTCAGATGTTTAATATACAGTACAGATTTGTCGTGCATTTTCTTCTACATCTACGAATTTCTATTTTCGGTATGACAACAGTTTAATTTATGACACAGTTTAATTTGTGCGAATTAACATTAATTAACAAATATTTCTCGTCACAGGTTATAAATAGTGTTCGCATATTGATGTGTTAAAAATATGCGAATATCGTACGCATATATTCCGTGTATCTGTCGAAAATTAGCACTTCTAGCATCAATCATTACTAATATATAGTGATGTTTGTTACATATATGTAAACAGTAGTGGTTAAACAGAAAATTGAATGCAGCATGGCGGGTGTTATGATAGTTCCCTAAACGATTTCTAATGGAAAACATTTGTTTGACTTTTATTTCTGATTTGTTCTCACAGCCTTGGAGATGTGGAACTGTCCTAGTTCAAGTTGATGCGAACTAGGACAACTGCAACTAGGACAGTTCCAGTTGATGCGTTTTAAAACGGTTCAGAAAGGAAGATTCATAAATGTTTGCAGTATTCTGTTATTTGCGAGCTTGGAAAGTTTTGGAGAGAGATAAAAAGTAAACTTGCAGGGAATACGGAACACCTGGTGCACATGGATGCACAAAATAAATACAAAATTGCCAAATGACATACGCATCTTCTATATGTAATGTTAACAGCGTCTTTGCAACAAATCTGAATTTGAATTTTGGTGTAACTTGTAAATTGCCGCATTTTCACTTATGTAACTTGTTTGTTACAGGGAGCGGCAAGAATGGTTCTAGAAGGGAATGAACATCCAGCTGCTTTAAAAGATGACGTTTGCTCTGCTGGTGGTAGTACAATATACGGAGTGAAAGAGTTAGAAAAAAATGGTTCTTGCATTCTACATATAGTTCATTCTATCAGAGTTATTTATTGCTCAGAAGTGCCATCTTTTTCTTACTTCCAGGTTTTCGCTCGGCATTGATCGAAGCAGTATGTGCTTCAACAAAACGGAGTTCAAGACAGGTTTAGAATTTGGCTTCCACCAGCAGTCTACTTTTCGTAGGGTCCACCATATTCTCTCACTTCTTTTTTGCAGTCTTAAAGACTTTTGGTTGATTCTTATAATACATTGCATTCAAGGCACCAAGAATTGCACAATTAATGTTGATTGGACATACTTTTCCGTGCTTTTTTATTTCAACTACTATATTTACTTTGTATACATGTTTATAACCATGGTCATGTAATTGTTGGTTCAGGTTTCGTATTATTTGGAAATTTAGATGAATATTCAACTGTTGCAATAAACAAAAGAAATCTTTTTTCTACTACCTTTTTTTTCACTAGCTTGATTTGGACTACTGAGGTATTGTGCACAACATTTAGTTTCAAATGAGAGATGTAAATTTTTGAAGGCACCGATATAAAGCAAGAATAATTGGATGATTTCATGTTTTTACTGGCCTACTGTGCGCTCGAGATATTCTATCTCTGCGCTCTTTTTTAATTTCTTGTCACTGACTGGTGTCCAAGTTTATGGTTTTCCTATATCACATTTATTTCCAGTTATCCCAACTTATCACCTCGCTACCTGTTGCACTTTTATTATTTTTACAAATACTTTGTGTTGTTTTTGGACTTGTTTCATGCCTATATATTCAATTGTTTCTGCCAGTGATACTACTAACAATTCTGAGAATGCATATATAGGCTTCTGAACTATTATTAAATCTGCTTTCGGTTAAATTGCTTTGGTGTTTCATATGTGATTTATTCAGATTCAAGTTCTTCTCAGATGATTGTTCTGCTGAATCCACAGTTACTGAGAGTGTGTAGAAAATTATTAATAAATCTTATATACCGGAACTGAAGGTTTAGTACCTCCTCATATCATGTCATTTTTCAGCAAATAATGGTCGACAATACTGATTTGCTGCTTAAGATCAAAATTAAATTAAGCATTTCTAAATATTGGTGCTTGCTTTATTAGGAAATTGTGGCTGCGCAACTGCACGTTGTAGACTATCCCGTAAAATTCGTCTTTAACAAATGATTGAAAGTTTAATTGGGATGTATACATTTCAGAGCAGTGTGAGTTATTTCGTAGCAAAATTAAGGTTTGGATTTGCTCCCATTCTGAAGATTTTTTCGAGTCAATATTGGGTCCCACTGTGATGCTCATTTCGTTACTCGAAACTTGTTCTCTAGGCAAGAGTTACTGGTTATATCTGATCAAAGGTACTGGAAGTCAGTTTTCTTATGAATGAATTTTCTTATTAATGAATTCCAAAGAGGTATGTGTCGAGAGCGAATCCAGTTGTAATTATTCTCCAAAGCTTTTCATCACGTTTGTTAGAAGGTTTGAGTTGTTGTATATCTTGCCAACACGTGGTAATGTCTGATGCTTCATATCGATGGTAAAGAACAAACAAGTCGGTCAGCCTTTCTCTCTGGACAAGATTGCAAACTCATGACAACTCACGCGCGTAGGTCAGTGAAATCAGGCTATAATTGTCTGGAACTTTTACTGGAGTAAGGTTATCCAAAAAAGTTTAAAACAGTAAGCAACCATGAAACGAGCTACTTAATTAATGTCTGCAGTTTTCTTAGATGTAAGTAGACCAAAAAAAGAAAAAAAAAGCGGAATCAAGTTGTGCTATTTGAACTGATTCTTAGGCATTCCACCTGAATTGATGCTTCTTTGCTTAGGCTAGCGTTTTTTTAGTTCCTATCCGAATGCTGCTCATGTTTATGCTGTTCTTACTAGATTAATAATCAAAAACATCTCTGTATCTGTTACTCATAGCTCCACCACCATTCACAATCATTTATATTTATCTGTCGAAGAGACTCTGCTCTTGCTTGATTGGATCATCTCGAAAAACACCTTGTTGTGGCTGTATTTCATTTCCCTCACCCATTTTAATGCGTTTATTTCACTTTAAATCACTTTTACTTATCATTGTCCTCCTCATTTCCCAGTTGTGCTGTTTACTCATTTCACTTTCTTGTTTCTCGATCTTGTTAATTCAACTTATTCAGTTCTTATATGTTTCTGTCATTGTTTCTTTTCGTTAAACAACGCCCGAGAGTTGGTAATTTGAAATTCAACAAAAAAGTACACTCAGCTACTATCAGAAAGCATTGGAGTGAGACAACTAAGTGGGAGATTATATATATATATATATTTCGGTTTCTGTCTGCATTATTCGTTAAGCTAACTTGCATGGGCTATGTCTGTCAACATATGCGCTTTCACATTTACTTGTATGTGTCGCCTTAATTAATCAGGTCATCATTACTGTAGAATTGCGAGATAAATTTAACAAAAACTCGTCCTCTCTTGCTACTGACGTGGTTTACATGCGTTTTGTTTCAGCAATTTTATCGATTAAATTATCATATTCCAACTCGTTTGTTTCCGCAAAATCTTTTTGAGCTGTACAATTTGGCACTTCTTTAAGTGAAAGTAACAAAACATTGTTGATGTTTGTAATTTAAAAGTTCAAGGAAGTGTATCTTGTCAAAATCGAAATCGAACACAGTATTTCTGCGTATCTAACAAATCAACTATAACTTTTCGGCTTTTGAATACTCATCAGATTTATATTTTATTTTTAAAGTTAAGCAGAAGAATCAGCGTTTAAAAAATATGGCTTTGTATATGTGCCAACAACAATTACTGTGGGAAAAATGTGCAGTACCATCGAACAGATAAGTATTGCACTGCAAAAAGATACTTTTTACTTCCAGGAATAGTGCTAATTCTAATAACAGTGAAAGGACCGATGATTTGTAACTCAATTATCTTTTTCGAGGTCTTCGTTAACATGATTTAATTTATAGTGTATTTAGACTTATTTAATACGAATAAAAAACATGAACAAGAAACACGAGTATATGAATAAGAAGTAAATACCGTCTTTATACTGAGTATTTCAGCTTGAATTCAAAAAGATGGAAAAGAGTGGCAAAAACTAAATGAATGAATAAAATGAAAACTGGTATAAAGACGCAGCAGAAAAGGAAGACCCTTGGGAAATAGTTTATAAATGCATTGCATTGGCAGTTGATGCACAGAAAGAGAGATTCTCAGGACCTTTTCGTAGTTTTATTTTTTTTTCCCATAGAAAATGGATATATTATGTTAGAAGGAAAATATCGTAAATAGTAATATCGTACCTGGTTTCAGACAGTACATTTTAAATTATTATAACTAGACTAAAACACATCTCTGTTAAAGAGAATCCAAGTTACTGGATTTATAAATATAAATTCTCAAAAAATATAGGGCAAAAATGACACATTAAATCCAATCAAATGAAAAAGGAACGATGAATTTTACTGGTAGAATTACTTAATATGGATGGATGTTCATTGTTTTTGTTGATAAAGTATATTTATTTGCCCATGAACTAGAAAGGAAATTAAGTTCAAAAAGCGTCCAACGTTTGAAGGCTTTACTATGAGCTTTATAACCGTTTGCCGTTATTCTCAAGAAAAATTAAAAAAAAAAAATAAAAACAAAAAACAAAAACAAAAAAAAACAAAAAAAAAATGGTTAACAAATTCTGGCAAAGACGAGTCAACAACTCCTCTTAAACTCATATCTGAAGAATGGTGACAAATTACAAAGATCCTACAGACTTTCCTTCCTTCCATTATATTTTTATACCATAGTTTAATTAAATGTAAAAACGTTAAACGTTCTAAACTAATATTGAGTTTTCTCGTCTATTTTGTTTTGCTAAAACGTTTTAACAAAGCTTGGAACGTCAAACGTTTTATGTTTAACTAATTTTAACGGACTAAAAGGATATATGTATTAGGTCAACAGTGTAAACCGATAAATAAACCACTAATTTTAGCTAAGGCTGAATTCGTCAATCTAAGTGGTGTTTAAATGAATTACCTGATGTAAATATATTGGAGCAGCTCTAGAAGCGTGCGTTTGTAAAAGGTCCATCACTAAAGCTTTATCGTCAACAGGTTCTGAAGATTTTTCTCTAGTTCCCCACCACTGCAACCATCAATCCATCAGAAGGTATACAATCCTTCCGAAACTTAAAGTTTGGCTTTCCCACGACCATGTAGATTTTAATCGACAGAACAGACCGATTCATCGAAAAACGTTTTTATTCCACGTGCTTTTTTCTATTTTAAGCTTTTAGAAGTCTAATCTAATTTCATTCTTCACTATATATCAGTCATTTAGTCGAATCCTTCACATCTCTATGATGTTCAGTAAAGCTTTTCAGTTTTTTTTTTTAATTCAAAAGGAAAAATGAAGTCAATCCAACACTTTTTTTACTGTTTGTTACTGATCCAAATATATCTTCTCTTAAAATTCTGTGAACTCAGCTGGTAGACTTGAACCCATTCTGCAATACATTTTACTCCTCTACTTTGCTTTCCGACGATATACGTACTCCAAATTTGTATGTGAGGAATTGAGGAACTCTTTTCATCTTCTATGTTTTCTCAACGGTCATCTATAATCTTCAAAACTTAAATAATGGTGTCCAACTTGCTACATAACTAAAATAACAAGGATAATTGGAAAGATTGAATAGAAATACAAGCATTGTGTTATTTTGCGCATATATTTCTGATTTGCAAGGATCGAAATGGCTATGGACGTAATGAAGGAAACAGTAAAATGATAATTACGATTGAACATTTTGAAAAAGCCAAATTGAAATCCCATTATTTAAACAAACTTTCTAATTGTCGGGGATCATCTAAGCGTTAAATAGTCTGTCTCATTTTGTGAGATTTTTTCCATTGTCTGATCTTACTTTTCGTTTTTTGTTTGCTTTTTAGTGTTCCCTTTCTAATATCATGTATAAAACTTCAATTGCTAAGAGCTTTATCAAAAACAATAATCCATCATATGATGGTATGCTGGAGATCATCGATAATTTAACTTTTAAAAATCCTCTTTTAACCCCTTCCAATTCAATTTTTCAACATTTCTTATTCGACTCATTTATCTTGTCATTTTATCAATAAAAAAAGAGGAAAAGACAAGAGCAATGTAGCCACTTTAATCAAAACTGCATATTCCACCGATACTGGAAGTATAGCACTCATTCACAATGCAAAATTGAAAAAAGTTTCAAGAAGTTTCAGTGAGAAATAACCTTCATTTTGCGCCTGTGGGATTTATATTTCGCAGTGAAATAAATAAATGAAAGAAATGAGAAAAAGAAATATGGAGATTTTATGAAAATTGATAAAAATTTTATTGAAATTTGGCGCAGGGTATGTCATTATTAGTCGGAAGTGGTACAACTAAGGATTATTCATAAATTTCTTGAAGGAAGGATTCAGACCATTCCCTGAGGAAGTTTCCCTTTATCTGGAGAATTACTTGCATTTTGAAAAGGTTATCATTATGAAACAACAAATGAACCATGGGAAAGTATATCTACAAATGGGCAGTTATCCAGAGTTTTAGAATTACTGATGTCAAACGAAAATGTCAGTAAGTTACAATTACTTATAGCTTTTCTGTTTTTTCCCATTCAGTTTTCTTTTTTTGCAACAAAGATCATTAAGCAGAACGGTTCCTCCTATAATGCGCAGTTGTTTTGTTTGTAATATTCTGCTGATCCCATTCTCAACACTAAAACGTTGTTAAAGAAGTGTGTTGCATTACGTTAGTATTTGTAATTTTGTCGACCCGATTCTTTTTTTCTTTGTGCGTTTGTTGCACACTTTCTTTACATATTTCCGAAATGATAATAAAAATTTCTCTTGCAGTAGAGGCAGTCTAGTGATAACGATGATAACATTGGGGAATAGGTGAGCTTGGAAATGTTGATGATGTCGGAAGGGTATGAAATATTTTTTTTATTGCGCAAAAACAAAAAAATAAAAAAGTAAAAAACAGCTGCTAGGTGAATCTTAAGAGTTGCAGAACTCTGACAAGTATTTTTTTTCTTTTTTTGGTTGGCAATATCCTCCCAAGTCAGAAGTATTCGAAATACAAGCCAGCCTTTTGTCGTTCTTCTTAGTATACACGTTATAATACTACTTTCAAAGCTATTTAATAAGGCAAATAAATTTGGTTTAGAAGAAGCAAAAGCAAACTTTCTTCTGTAGTTTGTTTTCCTTATAAGTTTTTATAGTACAAAATAAAATCGATATGAAAGCAAAGATTTAAAAGAAATGATTATACTGAACTTTAGTTTGCATTAATTTAAGAAGAAGGAAAAATTCCAATTCCTTATTTACCTTGTTACTATCGCAAGCAAATGGGTCAATTTGCAATATACGTTAAGTACTGTGCTGTATTTCATCATTTTAGAAAATGAATGAGATTTTTTGGAAATTGTCTTAAGCAGGGAGAACTTTGATGTCACCTTCTCAAACTAATAAACTTCGTAGTGAAACTCAATAAGAATTTGTTGATCTTTCTTTTAAGGATATGTATTGGTGGTTTAAAAAATCTTTGAAACGCAACTTTTTTGTTGTTTAATGTCTTTTCGTTGAAAATTCGTGATATGTTCGTAAAAACACGTGATATTTCGTTTCTTCGGTATTTTTTCGTAGTTTCAAAATAGATGAATAGCAGTATAGGGCAGTTACGATTGAAGACATGGAAAGGGAAGAAATCCGTTAGATTAGTCCTCAAAAATTTTTTAACGATATTTCGTATATCAACATAAAGAATAAAGCATCAAAAATTTGATTAGTCAGTTGAAAAGATTATCACAATAAAAATAAGAATTATTGATCAAAAATTGCATTTGAAATTACTTTTCATTTCTTATGAACTTAAATTTTCTTACCCAATTTGATTGCATAATTACTCATTGATTATGCTTTTCTATCACTGTTTTTCATCATCATTGTCATAACAATCATAGTGAAACCTAACAAAAATTTGTTAATCTTTCCTTTAAGGATATGTATTGGTGGTTTAAAATTCCTTTTATTAAAAATATATCAGTGGTCATCAAAGTACATGAAGAATTTTGTTAGGAAATTGAGATTGAGGTTCACTAATCACAAGATATTCACATCATTTAAATATCAAGATGGACTCATAAGCAAGCCAAAGAAAAATGGAAGGAAAAGGAAGAATTGAGAAAAGAAAACTGAAACCTATAACGCTTTAATTTGGCAACAAAGTAGTTGTTGTGGCACTAAGAAGAAATTATCAGTGTTTTTAATGACTGCTTAAAAATTATAGCAATTTCATAAATTTGAACAATAAGCAATCAAAAGCAAAAAAGCTAATCTTCATTTATGCGAAAGTTTCTATTTTCATTCGAAGCAAATTTCCTTATTTATTGCACCGAAAAATTATAGAGAATTTAATGAATCATATATATGTCAGATCAGAAGAAGCATTAGATTTCAATAGAAGACTTTATTCTTTCAAAACTTAGTCGAAGGGTGCAACTCAAAAATCAACAGTAAAAACTTAAAAACGGATTTCTGACGTACCGTTTATCAACTCTCTTCTAGTTTGACATAACATTGTGCAAAGCTTTTATGGACTGCCTCGGTTTTTCCGCAACAGTCAGTTGTTTATAGGACCGGAAGTTTATAGTATTCATAAATTCCTCATCATCTTTCACTATTACATAGCGATTTCAGAGGGGGGGGGGGGGGAAAAAAAAAAACACGGACAGTTCTTTAATTACCTAATATAAAAGAAATATCATAATGGCAAATATGACTTATCATGTTTTGCTCACTTTGTAGTACATTGAATTGCTATCAAGTTTGTTTCCAACAGTAGGACTTGTCGAGAGTGACGGTTTTGAAGTAACATATGCCAACAACCAGTTTTGTGTATTACTCTAATTTGCTAGCTTCCCATTATTAAGTAATAATTCCTTTGTATTTCAGTGCTGTTAATTGCATTCTCATGCAAAACAAATTAACATGATTCTCAGTTTCGTTTTTCTATCACCATTTATTTGCTCCCCATACAAAGGTAGAACAATAGCTTTTCTATCTTATCACTCAACAATAGATAGCGAACTGTCGCATCCCATGCTTAAAAAAAATCATCTGACTATTATTTAAGATTGTTTTTATTTTTAGAAAAAAAATCTTAAATAAAAGTCAGATGATTGGAGAGAGATTGTTATTAAGCATAATTAATTTAGGAGGAAGAGAGCACTGCTTAAAGATGATGGCAACCGTAATAGGGTCCGGAATTTTAATAGCCACAGTCAAGACTGATCAGTAAATGCCCTTCATTAAAGTTCTTTAGATGATAGACAACTGCTAGCTATTGAAACTAACTAGTAATTTGAACTATATCTCACTGTGTTATTTAGACATGAAATGTGCAACTAAGAAACTTGAAACTTTAGTCTTCATTTCAACGTTTTTCTTCCTAGGAATGAACTTTGATGTCTGTACAAGTTCTTTTATTAAATGGTTTTCTTTTTTTTTAAACTAGCTTAGCGGAACTCTTGTATTTGTGTCCGGGAAGATTCTATTCATGTAAGCATTTATGTGAAGCTTATCTACTGATAAAATTTGCAAAACACATCACTTTACGATTTGCATATTAAAAGTCAGCAAATCTCTACCGAACCATTCTAGAAAACATAAGCGTAAATAATATATTCGGTATCAAAAAGTAAACCGGAAAGCACTGTACCTGTGAAATTTTTGTTGAAGTATGAAATTTCATTGTCCCTTCCTCCTACATTTTTCATTATTTATTAATTGTAGCTGAAGAAGGCGGAAAGTACACCGAAGAAAGGTCAGCAAGTAGTTTAACAATCTTGTATCCT